ACAAAGGAGTGGCTCAAGAAGAAGCACATTAAGGTCATGGAGTGGCCTAGCCAGTCTCCAGACCTCAATCCTATAGAAAATCTGTGGAGGGAGCTGAAACTTCGAGTTGCCAAATGACAGTCAAGAAACCTTAAGGATTTAGAGAGGATCTGTAAAGAGGAGTGGACCAAAATCCCTCCTGAGATGTGTGCAAACCTGGTAACCAACTACGAAAAACATCTTACCTCTGTGCTTGCCAACAAGGGTTCCCTTTCAGTCGGTCACTCCCGACGTCACATCGGCTGACCGACGAAATTGGGATCTCGCTTAGAGAGACCAATCCACTTCGAGTGTAAACTAAACGAGCCAATGCACATCGGTAGGCCGGGGCTCGCAACAAGAAGGCCAGTCACACTGGGAAAACATACCCGTTCCACTTGGCACAGGAACATTGAGGAAGCCCCATCCTTCCCGAAGGAGGTTTCAGGAGCACTTATTTCCCCCACTGTATATATATATATATATATATATATATATATATACTACTGTGTAGTCTTAGGCCATTAGTATTTTCACCAAAAAATAAAATATAAAATGGTATTAAGCCAGTTATTTCTATCTTTTTAAATATCAGTTTACATTTCCAAACACTGACAGCAGCCAGTTTATAAGCACTATTCATTTTTGGAATAGTTTTGGAAGATGGATGCAGAAAATTGCATTTCCATTTGCACTTCATGAATGACCCAAACTCAGGGCACATGCAGAGATGACTTTGTGTGGAGCAGAATTTTCTGCAATCTGTGCTGCTCTGAAAACACCGGATCACGAGCTGCTCAAATGTAAAACAACACAGTGCCATGTGCCATTCACTCTAAAACAGACAGCGGCAGTGCATATATTTATTTCAATGCAATCACAGCCTTCACAACTTAATAAATTGCACTAAGCCATTTTGATTTAATTCAACTAGCCTTAGACGCTTCTGTTTTTAGCGTCAGTGACATCACCTCTTAATTTTGGCTCACAGACATGATTGGCATCCACTTACTTGAAGCATAAAGCAGATCCAGTGAGACAGTGAGTTTGATCCTCAAGTAACTGCTGGAATGTGCTTTTCCCTTTTTCTAATAAAGTCTATTAGAGGGGATTTGTGTCTGTTATTATTATATATTTTTTAATCAGATCTCTGCCACAGATATGTACTCAGACTCTTAAATGGAGCATTTATGAAGCATTTCATGCCAGTTCCCAAGTGCATCTGTTACCCTGAGCTGCTGAAGATCTCTCTTATGAGCTGCCAGTGAGATTTTCAGCTACATCCCATATATATTGGTTTCATTTTTAACCCTTAATGCAGAAGTAAGAGTTGCAAAGACTGAAATGAAATATCTATGCAATACCTGGAGGTAAAGTGTTTTTCATCCTGAGTCTGAATAAATGCCAGTATTAATTCTGACTCCAAGCAATAACTGAGTAATTAACAATGGTGTAGAATTGAGGTTTCTGTAATCAGACTTACCGACACGAAGCCTGAACGTGTTGAAGGAGTGTCTGTTGATGCCGTCCAGCTTGCCGATCAGAGCGATGGCGAACTCCACCATGTTTCCTATCTGAGCATTCTGCCTCTCACGGTCCTGAGGGCACACACAAGAGAGCTCAAGTCAACCAGGGACACGTAAATTATGTAGCTTGAAGGACACTTTTGGAAAATGCTGGGTGGCCAGGGGTCAGAGAATAAAATGAACTGCATAGAAGAAAGGAACTTCTCTTTCAGTTGGTTTTTATATGTGCAGCCTCCTATTTTTATCACCTCATTCATCAAGTGCTCCTCAGTCACAAGTGCTGGTCAGCCTTTTCATTTTCCATAACAATACAGTTAAGGTGAATTGAAATCTTAAAGCACAAATGTGTTATTAAAATTCATAAATTATTTCAGCATGTTGACTTCTCAGCAATGTTCACTTCACATGCAAATCTCATACAGTATGTAGATCATATTCAAGAAAAGAAATTCACTATCATTTCTGTTAAGTCAAGGACATGAGATTGTAATTACATGCAGTGGTGTAGACTTAGGCTGATGACACACGGGGCAACTTTTTGAGCAATGTTTGGGCAATGTTGCCATCAACGGGCAACCAGGTGAGACACAGGGTCTACGACCGATCTAAAGTATTCAGATAGAAATTTCTTACCCATTCTCAATGGGAAAGTGCTAAAGCAACATTGCTCAAAAAAAGTTGCCCCGTGTATCATCAGCCTTAGCTTGATGTAAGAAGAAATGTATCAGTCCATTTTGCGTTAAATTGTGGTAGATCTGTTTCTATCAAGTTTTTGAAATTCGCTGTCACTTAAGATTTTTGCTATTTAATGAAACACATTTCTGTCAGGACCACTATGGTCAAAGATGATTGACAATTAGCATACAGTTTGGATTGGCGGTATGGTTCTGTTCTGGGCAAGAACTCCCTGCGCATCCATGCAGCCTAGCATGGATGTGAGCAGGGAGAGCAGCGATAACCCCCCCAGGGTAAACAGAACAGAACCAACATAAATGTATTGCAGATATCGTTAAAGTTCAATAATGATATGTGCACATTTTAGAATTAGTCTGATTCAAGGAGAATCAGAAGGCTGAATCCTGACTGACAGAGGATGGAGGAGGGTAATTAGCTATTGAGCAACGCGAAAACTGCTGATAATACTGAGGGACCTTATATATGAATGCTTAGATAGGTGTCGTATTCCCATAGGTAGATGGGGATCAGCTGAGAGTCAGCTGATGCGAGCTTGACTAACGTGACCTGCCAGAACTAACGCTACGCTAGATTTTGAGGTTTAAATATGCTGTAAATGGCCTGGTGCCATGCGGTGCGTATCCTGATGCTATACGTTTATTAATATAAAACTAACTTAATGAATCTTTTGCTTAGAATTAATAAGTAATCATACTAACTAACTTGAATATTTTGCTTAGAATTAATAAGTAATCATACTAATCAACCACTTAACTGTAATTTACAAAAATGTTTAACACCCTGTCTACACTCAAAGAAAGAGGAGTGTAAAACAAATTTTAAGTTTCAATGTAATAGAAATAGATCTTTTCTTCCATATTGTGATTGTTGGGGGGAAAATGAAGGACTGGGACTAGGTTCTATCCATCGTTGTAAATTATGATGGAGGCAGATCTGAATGTGAGCTTGCAGTCGACTGTAAGAAAGGGGCCGGGTTTAAGCTGACTAAACGATTGGAGATTTCCAGCATGCTTCACATGAGCATCGATGAATATTTACAATAAGATCAATAACATGCATTTAGAAAATTGATGTGAAGTTTCATTTGAAACATTACATTTAATGTGTGGATTGATCAGATTTATCTATTTAATTATCTATTTTGCGATTCAGTTAAATTTCTTTCTTAGTAATCCTGAAGCTAAGCCTCAGGATATGCAAATGCCGCCATCACTGATTGGTGCACAGTGACAGACTGCCGGCTTTCCATTTAGTAGCTACCAAATGTCAAAAGTATGACAGCAAAAGCTGACAATTTAACACAAAATGAACTGGTTTCTAAACCTACAACTAGCATGAGAGAGCATCCTCCTTCACTTTTTCTTAAATATAATATACACAAGATACCCGAGAGGTAAAGACAGTTGAGAAGTTAACGCAGTGTAATCGTTTATGCATTTTAAGAATGCATTTATTGAGATTTATGTGTTTGAATTCCCTTTGCTCTAGATGTTTATATAGTGGTATGGGGTGTCTTTGCATACACTATGTAGTGTAGTACCTGGCTGCTCTGTTCTGGAGGTCCACTCAGTCCCGCAGCAGCCATGTACGTGCTGCCGATGGTTTTAATCTTCTCCACACCACTGAACTTGGGCTTAGACAGCAACTGCAGGTAAAGAGAGGAGGCAAGGGCCAAGTGGATATCAGTGTTTCAGAGCAGTAGAAATCCATGCCATGATGTTATCTCACATTAAATGACAGAGAGAGTATGAGAGGATTCACACTGAAACTCAGCACTATCAATATGTGAAACCTGTATTTAGATCCTTCTCGGTGAACCAAATTGCTGCCAGAACTGTTGGCCTAAACTTTTGTGTGGTCAGTCAACCCAGAGCTTTGTTGTAGCAGTGATCACCAACAAGTCCTGGTTGTTTCCTGCTGAATCCTCAATCCAAAAGCAGTTCACACAAGTAAGCAGTTGAAGTGATATGAGTGTACATTTACACAACGGCTGCCTCATTTCATCAAATTACCCATGTGATAGCTGAGGTGACGCCCTTAGAACAAAGCATTTTGGATGTTGGTAGAGCACTATTCATATTCAATGATTCATTAATTCATTCAGGGAATGTCAGAAGAAGAAAGACTGGAATAAGGAGATCACAGAAAAGCAGCACAAATGCATATGCTTTGAGACATGAGACATGACATCACTCTGACCTCATCAAAGTCGGCGATGATCTCATTGAGGAGCCTTAAACACTCCAGTCCTTCTTTATTTATGTCACACTCAGTGTAGAACTCTTTGAAGTCTGGCACCGAGGCAAACATCACACATACGCAGTCATATGACTTATAGTACAGGTCCTGGAGAAGAGGATCAGAAAGACACATGCAGCAAGAGCTCAATTCTTCTGTGTCGCAATCATTCACATGGTACAACAGACAAAAAACAACAACAAAAAAAAAACGGTTTATTACAGGACATTCACAGACTATGTAAATACATGTGTAAAGATATGAGGCATGATTGATTCATGACAAATTATGTGGGTGTTTTGAGTAACAAAAAGAAAATTTTCACTAAATGCACTCAAAAATCAGAGAGGCACAAGACTAAATGTACTGAGACACATAAAAATCCTGCAAATTAGACAGTAAGAAAACAAAATGAAAAAAAAAAATCTATATAAATTGGGCTGTTGTTCAAAGGGTCAGTAAGATTTTTAAAAAAATAAATTAATAGTTTTATTCAGCAAGGACATTAAATTGATCAAAGGTCAGGTTTGAGTTAAAGACTTACATTGGTCCAAAAGAAAAAAAAAATAACTATTTCTAAAAAGAATGAGGTTATTTTGGCACCAACTCTGCATATTAGAATGATTTCTGAAGGATTATGTGACACTGAAGACTTCTTCCAAAAACATAAAAAAATCTTACAGACCCGCAAAAGGGACCTGTGTGGAAAAGTGTTAAATTAACATAAAAGTATTTCTGGACAGTGAGAAAAAGGAAATAAGACAAAACCATTGCACTTTTAGATAACTGTAATAATACGCTAACATTTCTTGTAAGAATGCAGATCAGGGAGGAATAAAAACCATTGTAAAAAAAAAAAACAATAAATCACAATAATTAATTCAGGCCTAAGTTTTGAATCTTTCTTAATTATGGTATGGTATAGTATAGACTGTGGTAGAAAATGGTTGAGAGGTTGCTATAAAATACAGTGTGGGATTCTCTGTATAGTGCACACTGTGATCTTAGAGTATGATATTGGAATGGTATGGTGGAGTATTGCATGATATTATCTTCTGTGGTATATGGCAGTGTTTCCCAACCTTTTTTGTCTTACGTACTGCCACAGCCCAATCTATAAGGCTCTTACAAACATTCATCTTTCACATATTATTTTGTTTCCTTAAAAAGATCTGCAAAACCATGAAATTATTAAAAGTTAGTAATTTTAATGAATTAACATTTGTTTCTGTTTTAAATATTCAACAAAGCTAAATCAAAATCTTTCCAAGTGCCCTTTGGAACCGGCTTAGGTACCCATGGTTGGGAATCACTGGTATATGTCTGGTCTTGTATGGGAGACATGAGAGGGTGATATACAGGCTCATCCCACCCATTCGAAGCCGGTTCCTACCTTGTATTTCCGGTTTAGTAAAGAGATAGCGGACAGCAGCCCCACCTCATTCTTTTTGTTCTCGCCCACGAAGAGAGCGGCCACGTGCGCAGGGAGAACATTCTCCAAAAGAAGACAGTTCAGGTTTTCACACAGCTCGACTTCTTCCTTATCGGTCAGGTTCTTGTTCTTCAACAGGAAGTCCTGACGATAGCAGTACTCATTCTGAGAGGAAGAGAGAGCGGACAGAGCAAGGATGGGCGTAACTCTCTGCCCTGACAGTATGGCATGTTTAAGGTGTGTGTGGTATGAGGCGTGTACCTGGTGGGATATGAGCAGCATGGTAAAGAGGAAGAGCATGATGTAGATGCAGCTCATGAGTTGTGGGTGCTTCATAAGTCCTGCTTTGAACACCATCAAACTGTCCTCCACACTACAAAAGACAAACACTGGACATGATTATACTAGAGATGCACCAATATTAAAATTCTGGCCAATACTGATAATTATTTCCATGTTAGGACTGATAAATTGCCAGTATTAAAAGTTTATTCTATTTTATCTAAATAAATGTAAAAATAAAACACTAAAATCAATTGTTTTAAAAGTCCCGTATGAACATTTTTTTGAAATGTGCTAAAAATTGTCATCAGTGTTATTTATCAATGTTAACAGTGTTATTCAAACATTATTAGATTAACTTTAAGTAAGTGTTAAAAGATGGCAAAGCTAATCTAAATGGAGGAGGGGGGGAAATAAGCATCTACAATTTAATATGCAATAATAAAAAATTATTTGACAATCAAATGCATGTGTGTTCGTGAGAGTGTACCTGCTGTGGTTGGTGTAGAGCAGGCAGCTGTAGCTGCTGAAGAGATTTTCCCGAGAGTAGAAGATGATGATGTAGGAAACGATAGAGACGATGAAGAGGAAGGCCACCTTCAGCTCCAAACTCACCCTCAAAAACACGCCACAGGCGATCAATGCCAATATACAGTTATATACAGAATACTGGAAAGACAAAATCATACAGAAACAAATAGAGTCATATTTGTTTTTTTTAAACAAGTCAACAGTTATAACTCTCTCACAATCTCAAATCAGGGACATCAAACATCCTCATTCACAAAGATGAGAAATAAATAAAGAAAATAATGTAATAAATAATAATGCAAATAATTTGTTAGGGTTACAATCTGGAATTAAGAGTATTCATAATTAGCTACATATAAAAACAATAGAAGTTTAGAGTATGTCTCCATGTAGCTATCCAAGTAAACGTGTGTGTGTGTGTGTGTGTTTGTGTGCTTGCTACTCACAGGCAAATATGGAAGGTCATCTACAAAAGGTAGATCGGGAACGGTGTTGTTATTTTGTCGCAAAGTGTCACATAAATTCTCTGGGGTTTTAAAATACTGTGGAGTGAAAAAGTTTGATGAGCAACAATGTTAAGAGGTGAACCTACTTTTGTAGTGCTTCAACAAAAACATATACCAACAATATTGTCTAAGCATTAAAAAAAGCATTACAAAGTTGAACATGGCAATGATGACTATGACTGCGGTGGCCACGGTTGCCAATGGGAGGCGCAGAAAAGGTCTCTTAACCACTGCTTCTGAAAGAGCCGAGAGCCACGTACATGACTTTAACTTCTCCGGAAACATCCTCTGAGAAATAAAAAGGGAAAAGAAGGGAAAGAACAGCTGTTTAAAAAAAGACAGAGCTGGATTTGACCTGAGCAAAAGCTCTCAAGGTTACAGAAGCCAGAATGTGTTGGAAAACGCAACAGTGTATTTGAATACATGGGGCAGAGAGGACACTGGGAGGAACACTGTATGCATGGGCGACTCACGTGTCATGGTATGTATATGTATTTATGTTTGTGACACTGTAGCAAATGTCAGTCTGTTTTTTGTTATTTCACATTCCAGTACAAGTCAGTGACAACAATGGACACAGCAAATTACATTCTCCATATTACAGCACAGTACACAGCAAGAGAGGCACTGCATGCTGCAGCATCTTTAAAACCACAGGGGTAGACCTTTATTGTGCTGGACACACAAACATACCCCAGAACCCATCGGACCAACTGAATGTCTGTGCTAAGGCAAAGGAAGGCAGTGGTGGTCTAACCTGTATATGACCTGCAAAACAGACGCACAGAGCCAAAAGCAGAACACACGCCAACACCGCAAATGCCAGCCCCAGCTTTTTACGCCTTTGAGAGAGAGACAAAGAAAGAGTCACACTCTTAGGGCAAATGGTTGTAACATATGAAGACATGTTCAGCACCAAAGTGTTAAATCGAGTCTGTCTATGGTGTTCAGCTTGTATTCATGACACTTACTGCTTGGTAACAAGCATTTGGATGATGAAGATGCATAAAAAGACGAAGGTGGCACAACCAATGTAGTATTTAAATCTTGGCATCTCTATAGTCCTGTACTGAGAGAAGCACACGCACATACTTTAATATTCATTTATTTGTGTTATTTGTTATTTTTTAAAATACAGTGTATGAAACAATGAAGTGTTAGGACATTTAAGTTAAGCCCACAGTAAGATATCTACCTGCTTTTCCAGGTCTCTTTTAGTAAACCACAGTGTGAGGCCAGAGCTCTCTTCAGACTTCACCCACTGCCTGCACACACACAAACAAACACACACACACACAAAAAACTCTCTTCACTCGTTTTCATGCATACTAAATGTACAACTTTAACCAAACCGGGCTTAATTCCATCCAAAAATGATTTTATGTGCTTGTTTATGACTAACTTGCTGGAGCTCAAATCATTGATGGTGGTGGTCATCTTGTCGTAAAGTTCTTCATCAAACTTAGTCTTCTGTGATTTATTCCTACAGAGACAGCATAAACAAATCATAGAGACAGAAACACACTTTGTACCCATGAAGTAACACACACACACACACACACACACACAATGCACATGTCTACATGTGCATGAGCACTGTGGGACAGGAAAGATGTTCATAGCTGTTGTCATGCTGTTATTGAGTTATATTTGACTGCAGCCAGTTCAGGGGAAGCTTGGGTGAATATATGTGTGAAGTCTGTAGTTATAAGTGGCTTGACTTGACTAGTTTTGCAGTTAATGCTTTGTGTAGTTAAATTATCTAAATAGATCATAAGAAAGAAAAGTTCTAATTTTTTTTTTTTGAGAATTGAGATGGTGTTTGTATTTGTGTCTGTGCAAATATGTGTGAGGCAGGATGCCGTGTGTTAGTTTAATTCCCTGAGAGAGATTGCAAGTGTCCCCTTGCAATGTGCCTCACGGCTCAGGAAGGAAAATTCTGTTTTCTTTCTCTCTCTCTTTGCAAGCAGAAACACACGCTTTTCTAAGCCCAAAGTGCACTATAATCTGGAAACACACTACAGGTGTACTGCGGGAGTGCAGCTATGGTCATGCTAACCGTATAACCAGTTAGCAGTGGCTCACTGAGCGTTTGCATTGTTAGTGTTGAAACTACGGGCCCCATAGAGCTGGCTGAGCCAGTATGGCTCCACTCACTTATATATGCTCAAGGGAGGGGCAGGTAAAGACAAGGACTCAAGAGACTCATCAAAGTTGTCAGAGAGCAACGGTGAGAAAGTCAACTTCAACATCGCTGCTTCAGTCAGCAAGACCAGGCAATACACCTTGTTTTTTTTTTCCTTTGAGACACACACAAAACAGACACACAGATGACACAAACACAACTCACCTCTCTGTAATTTTGGTTGGTACTGATCTAAGAGGGATGTCCTAAAGAGAAAGACAAACTTAAGCATCATTCATAGAGAGTTGCTGTCATCATCAACACATGATCTGCATACAAAGATCAGTTTTTGACCAAAAGACACATTGAGTAGTCCAAATAATTATGTTTTCTGGCTTCATTTGATATATCTGTGTGAATAACAGAATTAATAGACTGAATAAAACTGGCATTTCGAACTGTTCAATCCATCACACAAAAGTAATTTATGACGAGACATGCGAATATACCAAACAAATCAAATACACTACTTTCGTGCATTTGGTCCTTTTATGAAGCTTGACAGTCGTGGTCACAATTAAAAAAAAATGTTGTATGGAAAAGATTCTCCTTTTATGTTCCACAAAAATAACAGCACACAGGTTTGGAACACCATAACTTTTTATTTTATAATTTACTTTGTGTAAATATAATAATGAAAATATTACCCTATGACAGCATTACTTAAACACTGTCACCGCTTTTGAAGCATGCGTACTCTATCTACTGTATGTCTGTCAAAGAAAATGACGTTGCAAGTCATCTCGCTCACTAATGCACTCTATGAATAAATTACGGTACTTCAAATGCAAAAACAAAAAACAAAAGCACACACGTTTTTAACAGGTTGTTATGATGAAACAATATAATGGTAGAAGACAAGAAAAAAATAGTAAAATCTACTCAAATATTAAGAAGCCGAAAGTTGACATCATAAATCCTGACATTAAGACAAAGGTAACATGTGCAACGGATGCTTTCTGCAGATGCAAACATATGTTGGCCGCATGTATGTAGTAATTAATGGGGAAAATAACTGTAAAATGAAAGAACATCCCTTTTCAAAAAATATCAACTGTCCTGTATTCAACAATTTTTCTTTTATACAAACATTTTGGTTTTGGACGATCATTTTAAAATTTCACCGTTTAGTTGTTCACGCGGTCTTGCATCTTTTCACTGTATGTAACACTTTTTACTTTTTTATGCTGGGAATTTGCCAAAAAGGAGTTTTATCACACAGTTTGACAGACAAAATGGCAGATAACAACGAGGCTTATCAGCACAGTGATTTGATTGGCTGTTTGGGATGTCTGTCATTTGTCTGTCATGAGGTCAATTCTCATTTTTGAGCACTCATTCATGCGTTTCTGACCTTGCAGCGACCCTTTCCATTGACCATAGCATCTGTGCTGAATTCCTCTCGGCTCTGCAGATGGGCAAAAGGTTTAACAGCCCCCCACGACTCCAGGAAGCGTGTCATACGCACAGATGCTCGCATCTTCAAACCATCACTCACACGAGGCTTGGTGACACTGGGAGCCATCAGTGATGAGTCTTTTGACTAAACATAAACACCACATCAACATGTTCAGATTCACATACAGTGACATATGAGTGGCAGGCACACACTACTAATGTATGACTTAAAGTTTCTACCCTTGGGTCTATGACCAGGTACGTCTTGACGTTAAGCTCTTTGAGGTAGGGGTCTCTCAGGTGACCATTCCCCTCCTCCACCTCATACGCTTTGTTCAAGTGCTTCAGAGTCGCCTCTGTGATGTGAACTCGGCTAATGGAGAAAACGCAAATGTAGCATCTTATGGAGATGACATGACATTAATATGGACAGTACTCTGAATGCAGCTTAAAAAGTTCTTGATTGATAAGCGATTTTATTGTTCATACCCTGGTAATCCACCTGACTCCATATGATTGGCTAATGTGACATCATGTGACCACACATCAAACTGCCATTTCCGTAAGCCAATCACACCACAGAGGACATTTCCAGAGTGCACACCTACACGCATGTTTATATCCACACCTGTCGCCTCACGCACCTGCCTGCAAGTGATTAGGAAAATATTCAGCCTGTCATCTGCCACATATCTTGGCCAGTGCTAGGAAAAACACTGTAAGGAGAAATGCTGTGCTAATAATGATTACAGACTTACTTTATGGCTTCGCACATGTCCAGGCCCATTTTAACACAGTTTTTGGCATGATTTGGCAGGGAAACAGGGAGGCCAGACACACAGTAATAACAGTCACCAAGAATTTTTATCCGCATACACTCATTCTCCTACAGGGGAACACACACAAGCAGATACTAGTCATCTTCAAGAACAACTAATATATACAATTCAGAGCACAAGTATCTAATTTACTAAATCATCAATGATATTAGATTTGTTTAGGCACCAAACTGACTGATAATAAGATTGAATTTTAATAAATTTCATTATATAATATATAATGAAAGTGCCATTCAAAAGTTTGGGGTCAGTTTAAAATACCTTTATTCAGCAAGGATACATTAAATTGATCAAAAGTTAGAGTGAAGACCATTATGACGTTACAAAAGAATTCTATATTAAATAAATGCTGTTATTTTTAGACGCCACAAACATGTTAAGCAGCACAACTGTTTTCATCATTGATCATAATCAGAAATGTTTCTTGAGCATCAAATCAGCATATTATTTCTGAAGGGTCATGTGACACTGAAGACTGGAGTAATGGCTGTTGAAAATTCAGCTTTGCCATCACAGAAATAAATGACATTTTAAAACATATTCATGTAAATAAGTTATTTTAAATTGTAATATTATTTGCCAATATTACTATTTTTACTGTACTTTTGACCAAATAAATGTTGAACATAAGCGCATAATTATATTGCATTATATACATTAAGTCCTATATAGTTATACTTACTTTTGCAATCTGGTCAAATTTCCCAAAAAGTTCATTCAGCATAATCACAAGCTCCTTAGGAGAACAGTCACTGGCCAGACGTGTGAAACCCACTATGTCAGCATATAGGATGCTAGCAGAAAGCAGACAAAAAGAGACACTCTTATGTGTTTTTGTAGGAAATTCTGGAACTGAAACAAAGGGGAAAACATGCTTGCTAGTTTGAATCTCAGGTCAGGTCAAATAAGAAGAGGCAGCATTTAGAAGTTATGATTGTGCCGAGTATTTTTTAATGAGGAGAACAGAAGCAGCTCAGTGTCAGCTGTCTGAACGCCCAGAAAAGTATAAAAACTTCATAAACACAGCTCATGGAAATTAACCTTGAAGACCCAGCTGTTCTCAATGCTGACTACAGGACCAAACACACACACACACAATCCATGTCATCACACTCCTAATGAACAAGTTCAAAAAGAGAGCAGGCCCCATGATTTTCAGCAGGTGAACAGCTCTCTACTGTTTGCTCACACACACAGGTGAGTGAATCTGTGTTCTATCTGAGCAGCTGTAATGGGAGGCAAACAAGCCGTCTATCTAAATATAAACAGCTGCCTGAGAACCAAGCATTGTGAGCATGGGACAAAGAATATTAATAGATGCACCCCATCCCCCATCTTCACTCTTGGGGTTGATGGGAAATAAAACTAATTAAATGAGTGGCCTCATGATGAGCACTCTGAGAGTCGGGGCTAACAGACTGACCATTCATTCACTCTCAGGACTTGATTAATGAGGAAGGGCTAAATTAGAGCATGGAAACGCAGAACAACACACAAACAGCTCTAGATATGTATGACGGTGTATATGTGTGTGTGAGCACACAACGTGTTACCTGACGTTCTCATGTCTCTTCACGTAAAGACTGTGGAAGTTGTTGTCACGGACCATACGCTGCTGTTCCTCTTTATCTTTACACTTGCAGCGCTCCATTATGGCCAACTTCATCTTCATGGAGATGTACACAGGAAGCACTGACTGTAAAAGGTTTTCCTACAGCACAACAAACACATACACATATTTAAAGATAATACCCGTGAAATCATACATCCAGTTTACTGTTAAAGTCTGTCTGTGAATTAAACATATTTATTTTTTAACATATTATTTTCTTTCAATTCAATTCAATTCAATTTCTGTCTAATCTTGAGTGTCCTATTCTCTCTCAGTTTCAACTGTTGTTTGACTGTAACAGCTTAAGTGTCAACAGGCTAAGAGATCTGTACTATGAGAGGGCAATGAGAAACTAACAGATTATACGGTTTCATTCAGAAGAAGGATTTTACTGTGTCTTGTAAGGACACTATTGCCCTGTGTGTATAAATGTTTGTTTTAAGGATTCACCATTGTTTGTGAGATTTATTATTCTGAACATATACCGTTAGGGAGGTTAACAGCCAGTCATTAAACTCTACCCTGCTTTTCACTGTTCTCCATACAAGATGTCACTTCTTCGACAACACTCATAACAAACCAAGAAACAAAAAGAAGTTTAAAAACGATACAAAAAGTTAAGCCTATTTCAGTAGAAACCTCCTTGATTCACTTTTCAATGTCTAATATACCCATCAGCTGTCAGATTTGAAGATGAATTAACCATTATATAAAATCATTAAATAAAAAGAAAAAAAAATCCAAAATTTCAAGAGAAAATTTCCAAAGCCAATATTCAAAGTTCATTTAAGGTGAAGGTTGTTTAAGCCTTATGTAGTTTGAATACATCAGCAGACTGAAGAGAAATTCAAAGTTTGTTTTATTTAAAGAGAAATTTGTTTGAAAGCTACAGTATGGGGCTGCTAGAGATGGACTTAAGACTAAAGTATACTTATGTTTTAAAGCGTACACTAGGGTATTCATACAATATTTTTTACGTGCGCAGCCATTTTTCTAACCACGTGTACTCTGTATGCTCAGCTCACTTATGTGCCTTTAATATTTTTGCACTAATTAGCTTGTCCAAAAGGTGACAACTCTGGCCCGACTGTGTCCCGACTGTTTCACAGTCGAAAAACAGACGGAAAAACAAACATGACAACAACAATTCATTAACAAGCCACTGTAGTTTAAACAAGTACAAAGAAATCAGTCATAACTTCTGGAGAGAAATAGCGCAGACACTGAACAAAGTTTAAACTTTCTAGTGCTACTGTATCTATTTCTATTCTGTGTGTTCTGTCTGTGACCAACTGAGTTCGTGTACACTCTCAAATGGAGTATACTTTGAAAGGCTGAATTGGCTGTACACATACACCAAGTGTTCACATCAAAACTGAAGCACACTTAGGGCTTTTGTTACAGCTGAAAAATGTGGTCTCATTTAAAAAAAAAAACTTAACCCATGTTTGTACAATAACAAATTTGAAGTCACAAAAATTATATAAAACAGATAATTTGATACTCTTGCATAACAGACATAAGTATGTATATTTACACAGAGCATTATTTGCATTTGTTTCTCCTATATGTTTGCTTTGGCTGTGTCTCTGATTTGTTGGAGTGAAGTTGTATGAGCACCTGCTGTCTCTTCTCAATCTCCAGTTTCATGCGAATGCCAAGGCAGCGAAGAGTATCCTGAAATGTCTGCCTGAGAGCTTTCTCCATCAGAACCTTATGAAATGCACCAACCATATTTCCACAAACAAACACCACAGCATTTGATAGCAACTAGAGAGGGAGAGGGAGAGGGAGAGGAAAACTGACTTTTAACATTGAGATGTTACATCCTTTTCAGCTTCTTTTCATATAGGTTTGCTGAAGCTGTAAACCTTTCAACCAATCAGAAACCAGTCTTTTACCTGATTGGTGATGAGATGATTGGTGAGTTTGTGGGGTAACTCGACCACTGTGAGGTGCACCGAAAGAACAATGATGTGAGACAGAGAGGAGATGATACTCAGGGTCACAGCGTAGCTCATTTGGAATGGTAGCATTGTGTAGACTGTAATGATGATGAAGAGGAAGAAGGGCACCTGGAGAGAATAAGATGACGAGTGCAACATTAACATTTATTTAAGACTGGCCAGTATTAAATTACCGGTTACTGCCAATATTGAATGCTTCAATGCATGACAGAGAACACGTAAGAATGCTCCTTCTTTAAAGGGCACCTATTATGCCCCTTTTTACAAGATGTAATACAATTCTCAGATGACCCCAGAATGTGTCTGTGAACTTTCAGCTCAAAATAGCCCACAGATCTTTTATTATATGATTTTGAAAATGTCCATTTTAAGTGGAAGCAGAAACACGCTGTTTCCGTGCATGTATCTTTAAATGCAAATGAGCTGCTGCTCCCCGCCCACTTTTCCAGAATAGGGCTGTGCCTTTACAGCTCACACCTCAGATACTCTGCCAAAACAAAACATCTGTCTAGTTTTGATTATCATGTATATCGTGCTGAAATCGTGCATTTTAAAGCCATATCAGTGTAAACTAACTTCTGTTTCTAATAAGACTAATGTCTTATTGCATTTAAACTGTCAAATACACACAAGGTTATGTCAAAAACACACATATGTTACATAAACACAGTCGGTTATGTCTGAAAGTAATTTCATGTTTATATTAGATCTGTGACAGCAGTGTAACATGCAGTACCTACTGCTGTCTGTGCTGTTAATATGACCCAAACAATAAAATAAAAACAAAATCACTCACTGCTCTTGACCCAATAACTTCTATAGCTTTAATATGATGACATTTCTTACTTGAATGCTGTTTTTAAATGCTCTAGCTTGATGATAAACATGACGTCACATTGTACAGATTTTGCGAACGGCTTGTTCTGAGACACTGCTTATGATTTATGGGGATTAACAAAAAGGAGTGGGTGGATTTTTATCATTATAGTGTGGTTGTGTTCACACACTGCCAACACACATTTATGTCCAAACAACATTTAAAAGTGAATTTTGCATAATAGGTGCCCTTTAAAAACCACTCTTGTCATGTGAAATCTAAATAAAATATTATAGCTAGTGTGTGTTACCTGGTCCCATGGTTGTATTGGTATTTCGGTTTCTGCGCTGAAAATAAAGGTGAAGCCCATTGTGAGGTGTGTGGCCCACACGGCGAGGCCGAGTAAAGTTCTCCATCTCTGAGAGAGGGTCTCTGTACAGATTAATATAAACACAGCCAGGAACAAACACAACGCTCCTCCCACAACTCCCACAAATACACCATGGACCTTTGCATCCTGAAACACACACACACACACACACACACACACACACACACACACGTGGAGAGAGCAAGGTGTTAGGGGCAAACATACATATCACATAAGCCAGCTCATTCAAGGGGTTTGGAAAAAGCAGTATGTATGTGTGTGGAAGTGGGTGTATGTCATGCTTTGAAAAAATAAAGAGCACTGTTCAAAAGAAATTTGCTAATGCTCTATCTAGAAAAACTTTGTGAATGTGTGTGCGTCTACATGTTTGTGTATGCAGTCTATCTTGGAAACATTAGTTTTGCACATTAGTTGTCATGGAGCCATTAAGGGACTATTGCTTCCCACACTATTTTTCCCCCTAAAGGCAGAAAAACTCAAACATAAAAACACAGAAGCCAAAAATCCTTAAAAGCTCCAGAGATCACTTCATGCCATCTGTCACAAAGCTAACACTAGTTTAAAACCAGACACCATCTGAGTGAGCATTTTTTTTTTAAGATTTATTTTTTGGCATTTTTGCCTTTATTATGATAGGACAGTATGATGACAGGAAGCGAAGTGGGAGAGAGAGAAGGGGACAAGATCAGGCAAGGTTCACAACCTGGGACTCAAATTTAGGATGCCCAAAGCACAACGGCACCATATGTCGGCGTGCTGCCAAATTGTGCCAATGAGGCTATCGGCACCCATCTGAGTAAGCATTAATAGCTGCAACACAAAGTTGCAACAAGGGAAATATATATATATAAAAAAAGCCTGCCGGGCATATATATATATATATAGAAAATATATATATATATATAGAAAATATATATATATATATAGAAAATATATATATATATATAGAAAATATATATATATATATAGAAAATATATATATATATATATTTTCTATATATATATATATATACAACAGTTATTTCCGGTCCTCGGATTTGATGTTTGCACGTTCCAGACAGGCTGTGAATTAGTGGTGGGGATTTTTTAGTGAGTCTTTTGGCAGGTTACATCAATACACCAGTACATGACAACAACTGACTGTCTTTATGAGTGAGTCATTTAAATAATCTACTCAACCGATACATTCAAACACACCAATTCACTCAGGAACGAAACAAGTGACTTATGAGTGAGTCATTGAATCAGAGAATTCAATTGATCAAAAGTACTATATTTACTATATTTTGATCAATGAACAAGCTTTGGTGAGCAAAAGAGACTTTCAAAAACATTCATTATAAATGACATAAATCTTACCAACCTCAAACTTTTGAACAGTACCATAATCTCTACACCAGTCACTGATTATATATAGAGTCAGAGTAAACAAAGGACAAAGTAAAATGATTAAATGACACTATCAGACAACAAGTCCCTACCTAAGTGGGCAAATCACAGCACTAGTTCGACCCCACCACTCACCCACACACCAATATACACACTCACCGCAGTGGGTAGAGTCCTCCACTCATGTTCACCCAGTTAAGTCAACCACTCCGAATTACCACTGAGCTACAACTTTCAAACACATCAGAAATACATACCTCAGTCCACAAGCACACACAAGAAACACACACACACACCTACACACTCCCATTATCCTATGGGCTTTGTGAAACTTCAAATAAATAGTAAAACACAACACACACACACACACACACATACATGCCCACACACAGAGAGCCACACTGGTTGTAATTCTGTTCCTCCCACGGCCGGTTGGTGTTGAGAGAGAAGGTTACAGAAGTTCATACAGATGGTATAGTGCTTAACGGCTAAAGAGATGAACAACAGCGGTACGGAAGGAGCGTTCACGGGCCCTCTTCACATCCTGCTGACTCCAGAGTTTATGTGCGAGTTTATGTGAGAATGTAACAGAGGAACCAAAGAGAGAGAGAGAGATTATTATACAATGTGCTACAAATTCCCAGAGGAAAAAAAAAACATTCTGATGGACCTGGCATGAACTGCCAATTATTACAATTAAAACACTAAATTTCCTGTCACGCATAATGCCAGTTCACATCAGCATTGTGATCATCAGACTTTAAATTACGCAACTACAGAGGATCAGCACCTCAGTGGCTGCAGGATTATGTAAGAGAGGCTGCTTCAATCATCAGAAACCATCTGAACAGCAAAGACAAAACAGATCCGGCACATGTTAAATATTGACTTTTTCTGTGACAGTTAATGTCTTTCCTAATTTTAAGTGACTTGTTCAACAGCGCACACTTGCGTGGGTTGGCGTTTGACCTTTGATTGTGGGCGTGTGTAAGCATGCATATTGTATGAGTGCATTTGCATGAACGTGGCATCTCACCAGTTTCAGGCTGAAGAAGAGCACTAGCAGTGTGACACAGGTGAGCATGCTCAGTCCCAGCAACAGAACGAATGGCTGGTACTGCCTAATGCCAGAAAATTTCCTGTACAGTGCTTCCTGTTTCAACTCCTGCTCGTTCAGCAAGTACTTCCCTTTTGCTGGCATTCTGACCAACGGCAGTGTGGTGACTGAATAGTACTGGCCAATCAGAGCAGAGCAATCAGATGCCACAGAAATACACCACCTCCCATCCAGCAGAGTGCGGCTATGCTGAAATCCCCATAGAAACCACGTGAGAGTGTATGGGAGGTCATTCCAGTGCAGAACACTTCTGCTCTCCCCTCCAGAGCAGCATTCTGTGCATGTCCTTTATGATCCTTCTTCGTTCTGTATTCACTCTTTCAGCACTTTTCGCCTCACTCTGGTGCCTCCTGGTCCTGTTGGAGAGGGCTTCAGGATATCACGGGGTGTGTACGTTGGATGAGAGGGAATGCAATGCAATTACAGATTCTTCCACAGTCCAAAAATTCCTGTCACACACAAAAAATAGAGAGAGTTATTTATTAGATGTGCTACAATGATTATACTAATATGATACCTCATATAGTCATTCTGACCCACTGAAGAGCAAAAAAAACCTAAAATTAGGAGCTCGGTTTGTTTCAAAAGCTTTTGAATCATTCAAGTTTAGCGAGTATATTTTCAGGTCAACTCCTTAGATCTTTATAAACACTGCTCTGTTCAGTCATTCCCACACTGGAAGCTCTCTGTGTCTGTAAAAAGGCTTTTGGGTAGAGTTCAACATTTGTGTGGATTCAGTCCTCTCTTCATTACAGAGCCTAATGCTGATGGCTGCTGTCCATGGCATCCTCAGCCAAACCTCAGCTACAACTCACACTGAGGCGAGCGGAGCTCTCCAAAGAGAAACCTGAGTGCACACTGGACACAGAGTATGTGAACTCTGCCCTGCTGGACACATAGAGACCTCGGTGCAGAGAGTGGTTAATGGTCTTACTGTGCTTGATGTAGTCACACTGCAAACATGCAGACTGTACAGGAAAGGAAAACATTTTAAAAATTTGGGGTCAGAAAGATTTTTAAAGAAATGAATGCTTCTATTCAGCAAGGATGCATTAAATTTAAGCAAAAGTTACAGTAAAAAACGTTATAGTGTTACAAAAGATTTCTATTTCAAATGAATGCTGTTATTTTGAACTTTCTATTCATCAAAGAATCTATTTTCAACATTGTAATAATCAGAAAGGTTTCATGAGCTTCAGATCAGCATAATAGAATGAGTTCTGAAAGATCATGTGACATTAAAGCCTGGAGTAATGGCTGCTGAAAATTCAGCTGTTTGTAATATTACTCCACAATATTACTGTTTTAATGTATTTTTGATCAAATTAATGCAGACTTGGTGAACATAAAAGACTAAATATAAAAAATTAGATTTACTAGTTGACCTCCTTTTTTTAGCTATGTGATTAGTTCATCGTCATTATCATCATCATGACCAATCCCTGATCTAAATGCGCCGGAAAACAATCTGCATTAGTACATCCTCATCCTCAGGTGGAGGAAACGGTCCACAGAGGAAAATGAGCAGAGGAGTCTCTGTAAATAAGCTTCGTCCAAAGGTCATGATTTCTCAATGCAGGTTATTAATGTTTGAGGAGCGCAACCAGATGATCATGGAAACGTAAGCAACGGCTTCACATCTGAATGCACACACACCATGAAACACACTTATGAGTAACAATCCAGAGTTTTTCATGTGATGCTAAACTTGGCTATGCTGACGCATTGCTGACAACATGACTCAAACTCAAAAGCAAATGTTATCATACAATATTTTTGTCTGTTCTCATTTCTTGATTACCATATAAGTATTAGAAATATCATCTAATACTATTGCAAAAGCTTAAAGAAAGTGAACGACTGGAAACTACAACACAGAGAGAAAGAACAAACTCCAAAGCTCCATTGAAGTGCCCCTGAAAAGAAGCACAGAAAACAGGACAGACAGAGAGAGACAGAGAGAGAGAGAGAGAGAGAGAGAGAGAGAGAGAGAGAGAGAGAGGCAGAAAGAGAGAGAGAGAGAGAATTTTGAATTTATAACACCTTTATTAAATACAAAACTCCAAAAAAAAATTACAAAACACCTCATTACATTATCCCATAATCTCAGAAAAAGACAACACATCATTATCAACCCAACACAACAATTGTTTTCCAAACGTACACTCCAAACGTAGAGAGAGAGAGAGAGAGAGAGAGAGAGAGAGAGAGAGAGAGAGACAGAGAGTAATAGAGAACTGGGATGTTCCATGATTTTCTCTTTGTTGAGGGTCATTAAAGACTGAAAGACAGCTCCAGGTCACTCTTTCACTCTCCCAGACAAATGCACCCAAGCCAACAAGTGGCCTTTATATTCCCAAACTAAAGTTACCATGGCAAAGGAACAATCCAACAGGGCAATAACAGAAAGAAAGAAAGAAAGAAAGAAAGAAAGAAAGAAAGAGAAAAGGGTGGGAGAGACAGAAGGAATGAGAGTCAATAGTCTCTCCATGCGGAAACGGAGGTCAAATCCTCCTGGCTGCTGCTGTAGTTCCTGGAAGTGCACGGCACAAGAGTAGTGAAGCTCTGAACATACACAATGATCTGACGCTTGACATGACACAAGCACAGCACTATAATCAGGCCGCCTCCTCAGGGTCAAACTGTATGTAGCTGCACATGAACAGCACAGCAGTCTGCAGCTCCACACTAATGCTCCACACTATTGACAATACAGTAATTTATTTCTCAAGGGAACAATAACATTAACATCACCTACCTATGATGATTAAGCAACGATACTTATAAATGCAATATAAATGCCTATATTTTTACTCAAATGTGGCATTAGTAGAGTGTACTGAGAATTAAATCACTTCTAAAACATTTGAATCCAAAGTTTTGAGGCACAAACTAACACCATGATCATAATGTTGTGTTCTCTCATCCATCATACTCCCCCCTCATGTCGTTCCAAACCTGTATGACATTCTTCTTTTCTGGAACATAAAATTATATACACACAAAATAATATTTTGAATAATGTTTTTTTTGTGTGTGTGTGTCCATACAATAAAAGTCAATGGGCTAAAATGTTGTTTGGACCCCAGTGGCTTTCAAAATATCTTATTTTGTGTTCCACAGAAGAAAGTCAGTTATACATGATAGGAATGATATGAGGGCGAATTTTTTTATTTTAGAAACAGATACCAAAAATATTTAAATTGATATTATTTCCACTTTCTTATTCCAAAACATCATGAGACATGTTGTGCCCAGTCTCTGACACTCCTCTTTCATCTGCACTTCTGTGGAAAAGCATGTGATGGAGGAAAGAGAAGACAGGCAGAAGGAAGTGCATGAGTGTCCAAATCTCAGCAATCTAAATGTGAATTTTCAAGAGCTCCATGTGATGTGAGAGCTGGTATTGTCATTGGTCAAGCCCAGGACAGTGGCCTTTCAACACACAAAAGCCCCATTCTCTGCTTTAATTCATTAGAAAATGAACTATTTACACTTGTTATCTACTCTGCTTTTCATCTCCCTTTTGTTGTCCATTCCATCACGTTGACCTGCACCATCCATTACATTTTTAAAAATGCTGAATTATAGGCTAATCATTAGGGTTGCAATATTGTGATATGATTTTAATGCATTAATCTGTAAAGTTTATGGAAACGCAGAGAGCAAAGACTAGGCATGTGATTATCTTCCGGAAGGGTGTGTGCACTAATGAAATCATACGCATAAGATAAGCAAACAAGCAAGACAAGGTCCCTGTTTAGATTTCCGTTCGATTTCCATTGATTCTGGAAAATACAATGTCACTTAAATAAAAGAAATGTTGTTCACTTTGAATAACTGGAGTGATGTTTACCCAGTAAGAGAAAGATACATACTTGTACAAGTCTTTTTGCTTGTCCCAAAACAACGTTTTTAACAACATAGGCGGAATTTTTTTTTTTTTTCCCCACAACGAATAGCCAATTTTAAAAAATGCTGCATTTCACGATTGCATGCAACGGTCAGTAAACAAATACATGTAAAGAAACAGAATCATTAAGGCTCGGCCAGTTCACAAGGCAAAAGAAAAAACACTTATCAGTTATGAAAGTTTATGAACATCAGGTACAGCGGTCACATAAATTCTGCCGAGTTTTTCAATGGTTGTATACGACAAGACGATAATTCTTCCATCGTGCAAATTATGGTCATTTTCATCAGTTAAAGGGTTAGTTCACCCAAAAATGAAAATTAGGCTGTGTTTTACTCACCCCTGAGGCATCCTAGGTGTATATGACTTTATTATCTGCCATGTTTACACATGATAACTGATTTAGCAGGTAGACACCTCCCTCAGGATTTCATGTTTACTATTGCAATCTGTCAGCTATTGTCATAGCAGTGCAACTATTGACCTTTATCTTTTACTACCTGCTTAAGTCATTTTTGTAATATATTTTGTAAGCAAATATCTGCCAAGAACAACAATATAAATGTACCCATAGGAAAGAAAAATCAAAAGTGAGATCTCTTTAACATCTCAAATATTTCTCTACCCTCAACAGTTGTACACAGAAGCAGCTTTGGGCGGATGACGTATGAGGTCAGCGTTGCGCATGCGCCGGTGAGTCTCGTGAAAACCAACGTTTGTTTACAGGATCAAAGGAAGCTGATTTAAGGAATGTGGAAAAAGTGGAATTAAACAGCTTGAAAGATCAAAGACAATTTTTTATATAACTCCGACTGGATTCGTTTTACCCCTCATTGCAGAGAAATATAAAGTTGCGAGTCAGTAGCCTGTCGAAGCTATTTTACTAATAAAGGTTTCCGTGCTGTGTTGTCGTGTGCACTAATGTGTGTGCGTGCATCTATGAAAGCAGTGTAGCCTACTGCATATAGTTTTAGTTTAGCTATAAACCCGAGTCCGACCCGAACCCAAAACTATTCATTAAACATTAACCCGACCCGAAACCCTAAAGTATTTCGGGACCCGTTAGGCTCGGGTCGGGTAGCAGACCTCTATTGCAACAGACTGATTAAATGTTTACTGCATTTTATTTATACTTCATAGATTATTATCTGCCATGTTTACACATGATAACTGATTTAGCAGGTAGACACCTCCCTCAGGATTTCATGTTTACTATTGCAATCTGTCAGCTATTGTCATAGCAGTGCAACTATTGACCTTTATCTTTTACTACCTGCTTAAGTCATTTTTGTAATATATTTTGTAAGCAAATATCTGCCAAGAACAACAATATAAATGTACCCATAGGAAAGAAAAATCAAAAGTGAGATCTCTTTAACATCTCAAATATTTCTCTACCCTGAAGCTTTCTTTGCTGAAAGGCACATAAATGCCTTATGACTCAGTCTTGATTATTAATTGACTAATTTGATTATTAATACATATTATATGGTAGACATGTTTAAGCTCATATTGAGGCATTTGACTTGGTGCACA